GGTAATGAAAAGACAAAGTGACGGGACCAGCAGGTGGCGTGGTGGTTAAGGGCGCTGGATTCCCACATGGCCAAGCACAGTTCAAGTACTGGATCTGGCAGCTTGCTCTCTCACTTTCTCTCTCTCTCTCTCTCTGCCTGGATCAAACTAAAAAACATAAAAAAAAAATATAAAGTTAAAAAAAATATAAAAAAAAAAAAAAAAAAAAAAAAAAACAGGGCCAGCAGGTGGCATAGAGGTAAAGGTGCTGGATCCTGCATGGCTGACTATGCAATTTGAATCCTACACCAAAGGGTTTGAGAGTCATGCTGGGCATACTGTGTCTGTGTGCCTAAGATCCTGAAAGGAGAATAGAAGGTATTGTGGTGTGGCCACCCCCCATGAGGGGGTGAATTTTCCCTCTTTCTCTCTCTGGTGGGTGCATGGACCTATAAAAAAAACTTAAAAAAAAATATGCTAAGAGGAATGGCTCCATAGCCTAGCAATTGAGGGAGCCAGAACCACAGGACCAACCATGTGGTTCAAATCTTGGCCCTGGCAGCTCAAGGGGCATACTGAGCACCTGTGCATGCATGTCCAAGGAGGTCTTGACAGAATGAAGAAATGGAGAAAGGATTGTGCCATGATGGCACCCCACTGTGGGGTGCTTTCTCTCTGTCTCTGATGAGAACATGTGCCCTCTGGCAATAAAAATAAATATGCTATAAATAAAATAGAAAGACAACAGTGAAAAAAGTAAGAACCCTAGTTTAGAAAATCCAGGAAAATCAGGTTAGAGACAAACTATAGTTTAAAAGTACAAACAGAGGAGCTGGTAGGTGGCATGGTGGCTAAGGGTGCTGGACTCCCTCATGGCCAACAATGGTTTGAATCCTGGTCCTGGCGGGTTGCTTTTTTACTTTCTCTCTCTCTCTCTCTTTCACCCCCTCCCATCTCTCTATAGTCAAATTAAAATAAATAAGTAAATAAAGTTAAATAAAACAATTTAAAAAAAGTATAAACAAGGACTTAATAAGGAGCTCATCTCCAAAATGAGAGATCTTCATTTGGGAAAAAGAATGGCTAGACTCAGGACCAGCAGTTGGTGTAATGCCTATGTTGCTGGACTCCCATGTAGTCAACTGTGGTTCAAGTCCCAGACCTGGTGGCTTAAACTCATATTGGGTGCATGTACCTGTACGCCAAAGATCCCGAGAGGAGAATAGAGGAGAAGGGATTGCGGCGTGGCCATCCCCCCTGGAGGGTGATTTCTCGCTTCCTGTCTCTCTGTCTCTGTCTTTCTGGTGAACGCACGCACCCTATAGCAAAAACCTCTCAAAAAAAAAAAAAAAAGAAAAAGGATGGCTAGACTCAAAAGAGTCTCAGCCATTTTGATCAAATTTTCCCCATCTCTTCCCCACACAACCCCAGGATTTCCATTCTAAATTTAAAGTATGATAAGCAAGAATTTCTCTCGTAACCTCAGAAATGTTAACACTGGTTACCAGTCCCAAATACTAACAAGGTATGTCCCAGACCTCTCTCTCTCTCTCTTTTTTTTTTAATTTTATTCACTGTCATTATTAAAACTTTTTTTAAAATTTATTCATTCTTGGGACCAGCAGTTAGCGTAATGGCTATGTCGCTGGACTCCCATGTAGTTGACCGCTGTTCGTGTCCCGGACCCGGTGGCTTAAAACTCATGCCGGGCGCACGTGTGTGCATGCCCAAGATCCTGAGAGGAGAATGGAGGAGAAGGGATTGTGGCATGGCCATCCCCCCTGGGGGGTGATTTCTCGCTTTCTATCTCTCTGTCTCTCTCTGTCTGGCGAGCACACACGCCCTTT